TTTTCCTAGTTAGAGCTGGAACCCATACTAGTAAGTGAAGTATCCCAAGAATGGAAAAACAAGCACCACATATACTCACCAGCAAACTGGTATTAACTGAGCAGCAACTAAGTGGACACATAGGTAATACAGTAAGAGGGTATTGGGCAGGTGGGAGGTGGGAGGTGGGCGGGTATCCACATACATAATGAGTGAGATGTGCACCATCTGGGGGATGGTCATGCTGGAGACTCAGATTTGTGGGGGGATGGGTCAATGGGCATTTATTGAAACCGTAAAATCTGTACCCCCATAATATGTGGAAATAAAAAACAAATGAAAATTAAAAAAATCTTCTCTGCCCTAATTTACTTCAATAGGCCTCCTCAGTTTTCTCAATTAGCTTATGTTCATGGCTTTGGAAGAAAAAAATCCCACATTTATTTAAGCTACTTTGGCTTTGGCATTTGTGTACTTTGCCCATTCTAATCAACATTTTTATGATTATGCTTACATTTGAATTACACTACTGACACATAAAATAAGTATTCTTTTCTGTACCATGTTATTATCAGCACTCCCATTTGATAAATGAAAAAATGAAGAGTCAGAAAGAAGAAAAAGCTTGCATAACCAGCCTAACTTGATAAGTGAAATAAGTTTTAGATAAAACCGTGCTTTCCGAGTACCTGATTCCAAAGCCAGGGTTCAGGCTGGGAAAGCAGGTCTTTATCACCTTGAGGACAAAAAGCTGTAATTTTCCTTTCTTGGGAATTTCTTTGAAAAGCATCTCGAGGCAACAATTCTTGCAGAATAGTAAGAGCACAACTTTTCTTTGACACAATCTCTGAGGAACTGATCACGTCTTTCTCACTGACAGCAGCAGTCCTGTTGGAAAAACAGGGTCTGAAATCAGTAATTTCATTCTGTAGCAAGAGGATAACTAGTTTAAATCTTTTGTTCCCCTTGAATGGAGACAAAATACTCTGTGTTCTGATTTCTCCTTCTAGTGGCCCAATACCCTATTACTGTATTACCTATGTGTCCACTTAGTGCTACTCAGTTAATACCAGTTTGCTGGTGAGTATATGTGGTGCTTGTTTTTTCCATTCTTGGGAAACTTCACTTTCTAGTATGGGTTCCAGCTCTAACTAGGAAAACATAAGATGTGCTATAACATCGTTGTTTCTTAGAGCTGAATAGTACTCCATGGTATACATATACCCCATTTTATTAATCCATTCTTGGATTGATGGCACTTGGGCTGTTTCACAGCCTTGCCAATTATGAATTGTGCTGCATAAACATTCGAGTGCAGGTGTCTTTTTTGTAGAGTGTCATTGGATCTTTTGGGTAGATGCCCAGCAATGGGATTGCTGGATCAAATGGTAGATTCACTTGTATCACTTTAAGGTATCTCCCATATTGCTTCCACAGAGGTTGAACTAGTTTGCAGTCCACCAGCAGTGTAGGAAGTGTTCCTCTCTCTCCACCATCCATGTCAGG